CACGCTAACGCAAGCGGACAGCTTGACAGTTACAATTGCAACGCATATCGATAATGATGATGGCAATGGCGATTCCGATGATGATGATGATCATCAGGCAGTCAGTCCGGCTGGGCAATTGAGGCAACGGCAACTATTTCAAGCTGACTGCACTATCATTTATCATTTAACGTAGCGCTTGCGCCCATTCTCGCCAGAGCAGATCATCATTAGCAGCAGCAGACTTCCTCCTTTAAATAGTCGTAAAGTTGCCTAATTAATTTACGACCAGCTTTTATTTTTTGGCTATTTTTTATGATTTATGAATACACAGCAAATCGCTATGCGAAAGAGAAAACAGAAGAAAAAAGATTCCAACGACAAACAAAAGACGCAACAATATTTGGCTAATTGCTGGCCAAAAAAAAACCTCAATTAGCGCCCAAAAAGGCATAAAAGCACTTTTGATATGGAAATGATTAATGCGCTAAAGCAACAGCAGAAGAAAACAATTTTTATTACAAGCAGAATGCGTCGAAACGAAAGACTTAGGCAACGAACTTGACCGATGCTCAGATGCTACTACAAGACGCGCTGCTGTTCAACGGTTGTTGACCCACAACATGACACACACACACAAACACACTTGATGCTGTTGTTATGCTAAATCTACAATATAAATAACTGTAAACATCTTCGGCTGTTCTTTATTTGGCTCGAGAGGCGTTAGCTATAAATCGATGCACATTAAACAGAAAAAATACATTGTTTACGCTCTGACAATTGCGTGAAGCTAACAAATTAATACAGTCCGGCAATTTGGCTAGAGAAAGTCTTGTGGCCGTAATTGGCTGTTAAGCATTTCTTGGCCATAAACAACAGTTTTGACTTTTTTTCTCCCATTTTGTTTTTTTTTTTTGGCTACCGCCGCCGGGCAGCATAATTAACGCCATAGCGAAAAGAATTTTGTAGTTTAGTTAAGCTGCGTAATCATAAAATATGGCCACGAAATCGCAGGCTGCGCTGCCCTGGCACTTTCCATCAGCAGCGCTGCAGCGGTCTGCCATCGGCCTGGCTAAATGGACACAATTAACCTGTATCTCTGGCTCTGGCCCCCTCGCACCCCGTTTTTCGTACCAGTTCCGCTTGTCAATCAAATAGACACCAAGAGCTGCTGCTGCTGCTGCTGTTGCTGCAACGGCTGCTGCGTCTAGTTTTAATTAAAAAGTTTTTTCTTCTTGTTTGGTGCGCAGCGCAGAAAATGGTAGCATCCACAGTTGCCAGTTTTAATGAAGGCGTTACGCGGCCAGCCCGCCAAAAGCAATAGCGTCCGCATGGTCAATGAGTCTATTGCAATTTACACTCTCGCTGCAGCATTCGGCTTGTGGCATTTAACCCAATAAAGCGAGTTGCCAATTGCCGATTGCCAATTGCCAATAGCCAATCCACATTAATTGGCATGTCAGGCAATTAGAAATCACAGATAACTTAACCAAGCCAGCCAGCGCCCACACGGAGACACAAACCAACATTACACTGGCTGTCAATAAGGTGAACACACGAGGTCTCAACATAACATGTTTGCAGTTTACATTTATTTTTATTTTTTTCTGCTTGGCTTTGCTTTGCAAACGGCCCACACACCGAGTGTGTGCAGATGCCAATGGTTTCTGGGCTAACAAGCCATTGTTGACACATTGCAGCCATGTTAGAGATCATGTCATTGTGGGAGTTTTTGGACGCACGTAATTGGATCAGAAGCTGCATAGAGAAAGCCGACCAATAACCAAATTATTTGCAACTATTTCAGCAGACTTTATATGGCTTTGCGTAAGTGCTTTTTTTTTATTTTTATGTATGTGGTTGATAGTTTTTTATGGCGCTGCTTGGCTGGTTGGCTTATTTGGTTATGACTTCATTTGCAGCGCGTAGCGTGGTGAAAGTGCGCCAGAGACGCATCAGGCAAATGAATCAAATTGAGTGCGTTATGAATGGTCATTAAGTTGGCTGCTGCTGGCACAGGTTCGTTGCCTAAGTCATTCGTTTGCAACCATCAAATTTCATAATGATCGCCCGATTCTCGCCGCACTGATAAAGACAAAAACTATTACAAGCACACACAGACAGACAGACACACACACACACACACACACACACACACATTTATTGAGAGAGACATAAAGTCGTTAAGCCAGCCGCAATGACGCCTGTGCTTCGCATTTCAAATCAGTTTCGAATTTCATTTCGATTTTTTTTTTTTTTTTATCTTGTGAACCTTTTTATGTTTAATTTTTTTATTTGGACTTTTCGTTGTTGTTATTGTGCAGCGCACTGTTGACAATGTAGACATCGAAGCGTCGCGACGCACCTTTTAACACTTTGCCGCGCTGCCGCTGAGCAGCTTATCCCACTCGAGACTTGGCCTTAACTCTGTACCAAGCCCTGCGATTCGCGTTTCGTAATTTGTTGCTTATCCTTTGACACTGCACTAAAAACTTTATTATTGATTCTGCGTATATTTTTGTTGTTGTTGGGGTTGTTGTTTGATGATGCTGCCGGTGCTGTTGCGCTTTGGGCAACTCAAACTCGAGCAACGGTAAACGACAGATCTGGCGCACGACAAACTGGCAGCGTGCTCGACCCCGAGACCCGATCCGCAATGAAAAACAAGCGAGTGTAATGCGCGCTCGCAACAGGTGCAAACCGTTCGCATGCGCTGTCGCTCTCAAACTGCGGCACTCGCACATGCTACAAATGTTAAGTGCGCAGCAGTCGACTCTCTGCTTGCTGTTAATATTTCTGTTGCCTACTTTTAGGCTGAAAAAAAATTGAAAATGCATTCTACATTTGAGATCAACATGCCTAATACTTAATTTTGTATATTCTGGTTGATTTAAACTATTTATATATATATTATTATTTTTCAAATTTTATCTTATTAGTTTCAATTAAATATTTTCTTATTTTTTATATATTCATTTATATTATTTATTTACAGATTTGCATTATGTTAATGCTGTTCCTGAGCTGTTAGCTCAGGAATGATTATGTTACGCTCTTCAGCCATGACCCATAGGTGGCGCTTTTGATATATATAAAAACGCCTAAAAGACGCAACACTTTTTTCACGATTTATTGTTCTGCTAGATCAGTCATGATCAATTTTATTATGATCATTAAGATTGTAAGAAAATAAAAAATAAAAAATGCAGTATCTGAGAAGGAAAACACAATTACAAATAATGCCATTTTAAGTGTCACTAATGAACATCCTAATCAGATAATTTTAGGAGAAAGCTTGTCTTTGAATATTATGTTAAAGAGGCAGACTTTGATGCCGCTGATGCGTGGCTCAATGAGAGGACTTCTCCCATTTGAAATTCGTTTACGAATACCATATTTTAATGCATTTCATATATATATTAGTGCAAATCAAGAGAAGAGAAGCTTCCCAATCTCACTCATCTTGTTAGCACATTTGGATAATTGTGTTCAGAAAATTAACTAACTGTAACTTCTATGTCAATGTTTATACATACATATGTATATGAAAATAATTATACATTTTCTACAACTGAGCCTAATTTAACATGCCTATATATAAAATATATACAACATTAATAAGCTGACCCGCACCAGAGATAATATGGAGAGAGAAATATAAAATAAATCTAAGGCAGTCTTTCAACAGTTGTGCATTCATTGAATCGTACAATAAAACTGTAAATTATATATTATGGTCTAATTGTACGTTAAGTAGAGTAGAATGAGAAAAGTTCAAGGTCAAGTTGCACTTCCAAGACCACATATGGAGCGCAGCGAATGCCAGTTAGTTGGTCAATATGTTGAGTACGGCACAAGCAGCACTCGGTCGGAGTGCTTTGGTGGCTGGTCATTAAGCCAGAGATACGACATTAACGCGCTCTGCTGATGTCTTGTCTGTTTGCGGTCTGTGGGTTAATTAGGGATCAAAACAATGCGAGCGGAAATGTTTGCTCTTTTTTTCCGAGCATTGACTTATGATTTATGAGTAGACACTGAATACGCTGAAGAGCACTGCAGCGTGTGAAGCCGGCGCCTGGGGGGCCCCTCTTAAAACTTACCCCGTATTGCATATGAAATCAATGGGAATGCGCTTGTTCGCTTACCTGCAAAATAGGAAAATGGATATCAGATTAAATGCGTATTAAATGTGGGCCTAAAAGCGTATCGCTATGTATGTATGTATGTATGTATATGGGAATGAGCTGCTGCTATCACAAAATCAATTTGGCTAATTGCAAACATAATGGCCTCGTTTGTCGACACATTTCAACAGACACCAACGAGCAGCAGCAATGGCCAGCAGCTGACAGCCGAGAACTGACAACTTTTTGACACGCAATCGACGAGCGATGTGGGAGCGTTTATTAGCCAAATAAAATAACCCCCAAAGTGTCATCAAATCAATGCAAAGTAGCACAAATCGAACTGGGAGAATGGAAAAACTTTGCCGAGGGGCGAGCAACATTTGCAACAGCCCAGAGCCATTAGAGCCTTGGCTCTCAGTGCCAGCCAAACGAGAATGGGCAATTCTTTTGGCCATAAAACGTCGTAATAATGGGGAAAGTTTGCCCCACAGGCGGCATAGTAGGACACAGGTGTGTCCCTAAGCATGAAATAGTTTTTCTCCTGCCCTTTGAACTCGCCAACTCAAGCAGAAATCAATAAGGGTCTATTCCCGGGGGAGTGTAACTAGAGTGCAAGTTCCGATTTAAAGAGTTCCCCTGGATGCCATATTAAAATCAATTTTCTATATTTACTCTACATATTTAACTTTTTTCTTTACATTCACATTTTCATTTACTGTTATACACAACTACAAATTTAGACGACTGACTACAAAAAGTATGCCAAAGCCATAGAGAATCAGCTGAAGCTGCGGAATATAAAAACACTGTAGCATATTTTCTATTGCTACAGTAAACACTCGAGCGTATGCTACAATTTTTCGGACATTGGCAACAAGTCTGCGCCACGATTTAGACGTACTGTGTGCTCTCGATAACCGAGACCACGTTCTCGGCCATGTCACAGAGCTGTGTGTAAGTGTGCATGTAGAGCGCATCTCTGTAGTACTTCTTGCCCTGCATCAGTCTGTGCACATAGACTGCAGGATGTTCGTCTTTGAGCTTCTTTAGGCCGGGCGTGATGGGCGTGTCATCCTTGATGGTATAGAATCGATGTATTTCGGTCTTGAAGCAGCTCTCTTCGATGCCCATCATCAGCTCCTCCCACTCGTCGATGCCGTTGCCAATGCAGCCGCGCACATAGATGAGGCACGAACGCTCCCGCTCACTGCTGTGCTCGGAGTGCATTGGGGATTGCTGATCTCCGGTGCGGAGGAACGTGTCCAATATGTTAAGCAGATTCTGAAAGTACATCTCACGCCTATGGGGCTCGGGCAGCCGCATTATGAATCGCTTGATGGTGTCCAAGCGCATATCCCACGCCGGCGCGCGTGGCAGCTTCACTTCATTGTAGAGAGCACGCAGCGCTTCGATATCGTCAAACCGTTCACAATGATAGCCCACATTTTGGATATTGAACTGCTCCCGTTCGTCGAGCGTACGCTCGTACGGATGCAGCTGCTCGCGGGGCTTGATAAGCGGCGCCAGCTCGGCATGCAGTTGGGTCAGGCTGAGAGTTCTCGCCTCGATCGCCTTGTCTGTGACCAGATCCATGTGCCTGTTGATCTTGTACAGATACTCTGGTGGTGCCACGCACTTTCCAACCAACAGCAGCGTCAGCCCATTGCGACGGCTGCAAAAGATGTGGGGAAAGATTCGCAGCTTCCAAAACTGTTTGCCCACGAATACCTCACTCGGGTGGTACATGACATTGATGATGTGCACATCGCCCGGATACAATCGGAATCGCTTTCGCTCAAAGTAGAAGCAACGGCGGCAATAGTGCATCGGCGGATCGGCCAGCAGCCATTCACAAAACAAAATATTCTTCCCGATATTCTCGAGGCGCATCACCTGCTTGAATTGCCGCTCGAATGGCGAGCACTCGAAGTGGTACTCGAAGCGTGCAGAGGGAAAAAAATCGCCACGGTCCTTAATGAATTCTCTATCGTTGACCTTGAGGCCCACATTGACGACCTTGGGCTCTAGGGGCACCTGGACAGGTGGCGTCTGAACCTCTGCAGGTGAGTTCGTTTCGGTGATGGAGCTCACGGAATATAGTGACTTCGCTGCCACCAGATTTATATCTGATTGATGATCTCGAATTGAATTTTCATTACTGCCAATCACTTCGAGTGTTCTCATGTCTGGAAAGAATTCGATGACACGATCAATATCCATATATTTCAAGTTTAGACTCTTCTCGAGCTCTACCGAATTGATCCAACTAGTCTTGCCCTTCTGTGCGTTTTTCGGCCCAAATATTTCCAGATTGGTCGCGTTACTCAGCCCCGTGATTTCCAGGTCAGCGACGCCCGAGCGTTCCAGCAGTGGCACCGTCTGCTGCACCTCTGGCACACAGACGCACTGCTTTGCATCCGAACGAGCGGGCAGAGCGCCGTACTGTTGCGACACAAGGCGGGTGGGATTCAGGCGATCAGCGCAGTCTATTATACGGTTTATGTTGCCCTTGTTGCGCTGATCCAATGTGCCGCTCTGATTCAACAGCATCTGCTCGGGTCGGCGGCCGACGCGCTGATGGATCTTCGCCTGCACTCGGGCGCGATCGCGCAGTGTGTCGTGCCACTGCTTGAGCCGCTTATCCATATGCTCGCTGCCCTCGAAGCCCGTCACGATCGAGCAGCTCGAGCTTGAGGCAACGTATTTGCCCGCCTCCTTGTCGAATATCGAGTTGATGATGTCCTTAACCATATTTTTGCCATCTTGGCGAGTGACCTCCTTCAAATGGCCGTGCTCTCGGAAGAAATCGGACGACTTGGACTTGTTTGATAGGGTGTTAGCTTCGCTGATCTGGTCCTTTTGGTTATAGCGTGCATATTTCAATCGATACAAGGAATGGCTCTTCATGACTTGAACAAAAAATTGTGTTGAAATTTTTTTTTTGTATTTTTTTATATTTTATATATTTTTTTTTAGTTTTTTGTTGTTTTTTCTATGTTGTGGGGTTTTGTTTTGTGTGTGTGTGCGTGTGTGTGTGAGTGTGTAATCTGATTTAGTTACATTTACTACTAGACATGCTCAGTGCTCTCGATAACGGAGACAATATTTTCGGCAATGTTGCACAGTCTATAGAATGTGTATATATAAATGGCATCTCGAAGGGATTTCTTTTGCGCCCAGCTGCCCTTGGTGCACATCTGCGGCACAAACATGGAAAGCTGTTGCTCCCACAGCTCAATGCCGTTGGCGATGATGCCGCGCACAAAGATGAATTTCGTGCACTGCCGTTGCTTCAGCCGGTGCACGGAATCGCTCAGGTTGAGCGGCGTTGTTCGGCCACGCAGCGGCGCCAAGAGCGACTGCAGCTGCTCAAAGAGGCTGATGCGCAGTTGAATGTCCTGTTTGATGCAGATCAGCTCAATGATCATGCTCACACTGTAGTCCCACTCCAGGCCACAGTTCTCGGGACTCACCAAGCAGAAAAACCTCTTCAAGTCTCTCATGTCGCTGTCTCGCTCGCAGTAGAAGCCCACGTTGCGCTGATTGAAGGCCTCACTGTCCTCCAGCTGTCTGACATACGGACAGAGGATCGGCATAGGCTTGAGCATCGCCTGTGGTCGCACTATCTTGCATTCTCTCCTCGCCGCATATGTTCGATTCAGGAGCTTTCTCTCTCGCAGCAGCTGCAGGTACTCCTGCGGGGGCGTGCACTTGCCGTGCATGTTGAGAGTCAGGGCATAGGGGCAGCGGAAGAAAATACGAGGACTGGTCTTGAGCAGCCATCGCTGCTTTACGATGCCCACCTTGCGCGGACGGAAGAGCACGGATACTTCGCGCACCCCGCCCGGCCGGAGAGGAAACGGCTCCTTGTCAAAGACAAACACATCGTCCGGCTTGCTGAACAGCGTTGGATTGTAGGCAAACGACTCGGCGTAGCTCCACCTAAAGTTGATCAACTCACGGCCGTTGTTCTCGATGCGTATTATGGTGCGATAGGAGTACTCGTACGGATTGCTGACGAACTTGCGCTCCACAATGGGCGAGAATTCCGGCCGATGGCGCCGATAGGTGGTGCCATTAAAGCTCACCGCCAGCTCCGAGACGGTGGTTTGTAGAATTCTGGTCTTCGAGCTAACCGATGGTAACTTTTCGACTGGCCTCTCGAATATGTCGCTTGGCGTAATAGTCGATATCGTATGACCCGATGTTCTCACACAGGGCTGCCTACGCCACAAATTGCGGCCGACCAACATAAGTTGATCGATCTTCGGACAGAACTCGAGCATATTTCTAACGCCAGATTTCTCTAGCTGTAGACACGTCGCAAGCATTTGCGACTCGCCCCACGAGTTTCGCTTAGGGCCCGGACAATCCAGCTCCTGACTAATCCGCTTTGGTAGACCCACAATTTCCACATAATCTGGAGATTCATTGGACACCAAGCTATCTCTGTGCGAGGCTTGATCCAGAATACGCTTGATAGTCTGCTCCTCGCGATTGTCCAGATTGAAGAGCAGCTCCTCCGGTTGCCTGCCCGTGGCCAGGCATAGTCTTTGCTGCAGCGCTCGACGCTTACGAATCATGTTCTTCCAGTAGAGCAAACGTTTGTCCACATAGCTGACGCCCACGGCCGACATGCACTGCGCCTCAGGCTGCGATTCAGATTCCTCGTAACGCTGAAATATGCCATCGACAATATCATAGATCAAGCATTTATCTTCTTGCGCTTCCGAAGTCGCGCCTATTTCAAAGATTTCCTGACTCGCCATGGAACCAATTTATGTTGATCAAAAGTTGAAACTAGCTAGGATTATGAATATTATGTCATGTGTTTTAAAACTGACAGTAGGAGCAAGTGGATAGCGAGCGCTGATTAAAATAAATCTCAAATATGAAAATAAAATGAATTAAAAATAATTTAATTAAAGTCTGCTATATTATGGTTCATTTTATACAACTTCAAATTTCATCCAGCATCAATTAAAATAAAACAAAATGACTGACCATCGGCCTTAGGTCGGCACCAGTTCAGTGCTCTCAATGACCGAAACAATGTCCTCGGCAATATTGCACAAATGCGAATAGGTCTGTATATAGAGAGCATCGCGAAAGTATTTGGATCGATGTAGCTTCCTCATGACCGCAGCGTTGACCTTCTCATCGAAGACGATTTCAGTGAGATCGATGTCGGGAATGAGCTTGATTTTGTCAGTCGGATCTGGCTCCGCCTTGGGCGCAATTGGGTCCGCATACTCATTGTCCTCCTCCTCCTCTTCGCCCCCCTCCAGTAGGTGCATGTAATAGCGTTGCAATTCGGGCTTGTAGAAAGACTCCTCGACAATAAAGACAAGATCCTCCCATTCCTCGATGCAATTGCATATGGCACCGCGTACATAAATGTATCTGGTGCGCTGTTTCTGCTCAACTATGCGCGAGGCCATGTCCATGCTCGGCGCTGCGCCCAACAGCGGCTCCTGCAAGATCATCAGGTTTTGAAACATTTTCTCGCGCTCGGCTGTGTTCTCAATGCGCATGATCAGCATCTTGATGGTCTCCAAGCGCAAGTCCCAGGGCTTTTCCCGTGGCTTCTTCAAAAGCTTGTGCATGCCCTTGAGCACCTCCAGATCGTCGAAGCGCTTGCAGTTGTAGCCCGGATTCAACGAGTTGAACGTCTCGCGCTCATCGAGGGCGCGCTCATAGGGACAACACGCGGGCGGCGGCTCAATCAACGGCACCAAACCGCCCAGGTGTCCCGTCAGCTCGTTCATCACAACCGTGTTGGCAAAGCAAATCGTTTTGCAGTGCAGCTCCCGCAGCCGGGCCAAGTACTCCTTGGGCGGGGTGCATCGGCCATGGAAGCGCAACTGCATCGACTCGTGATGCCCGCAGAAGATGCGCGGCTCGACCTGCAGACGCCACAGCTCAACGGCCATGCTCACCTTCCGGGGCTGGTACAACACAATCAGGTTATAGCACTGATTGGGCGTCAGTCGAAAGTTGTCCGTGTCGAAGAAGAACTCATTGTCCTTGGCCAGCAGCAGGGAGCCGCGATTGTAGTAGTAGATGCCCTGCGACCAGCGAAACGAGAGAGTCTGCTTGCCGATGTTCTGGAGCTTGAGCACATGCTTAATGCGACGCTGATACGGCTCGCATGTGAACTTCGTGAGTATTTCGAAGCAGTCGGTGAAAGGCTTCTCGCACACAATATACTCCTTGCCATTCACTTTGAGCGCCAGCTCTGGCGGCTCTGGCTCTGCCTCGAACTCGGTTATCGTCGGCTCCGTCCAGTCATCGCACAACATTTGATCCTCAGCTGTACAGGACTTATCGGTGCTGGTGGACACTGAATGAATGCTCTCCTCGCCGACCATCTTGACTTTTGGCTGAGACTGCAGCTTGTTTATGCTGATGCCCTTCACCTGTAGCTGCTGCAGGTCGGGAAAGAATTCCACCACCTTGGTTATGTCACTGAATTGCTCATCGATGCGCTCGTCTAGCACCGGGGAGTTCATCCAATTCCAGCTTCGTAGCTGGTAGCGGGCAGCGTCAGAGCCCAACAGCTCCTCCTGCACAACTGCCGGCAGTCCGATGATCTCGACATTTTGCTCACCTCGCAGCTCGGGCTGTGGCCAGGTCTCGGGCACGGGTTCCATCAGCCTGCAGGTGCAGGGGTCTTCGCGCTCTGTCAGAGCACTGACATGCTTCTTGGCCAGGTTGGCGGGCTTGACACGCTCGGCGTAGCTCATGAGTCGCTTGACCGTCTCCTTGTTGCGATTGTCCAGCGTCGAGGAACGATTGAAGAGCACCTGCTCGGGGCTCTTGCCGGTCTCGATTTCGACTCGATTCTGCATCTTACGACGCGTCTGCAGCATATCATGCCAGTACTGCAGTCGCTTGTCCACATGCGATACAGAGTCCCTTTGCTTGAGCTCCTCGAATTTGGGAATGTCACAGCTCGACGATGTCTCAGGAAAATGTCCCCGTCGCTCCGCAAAGATCGCGTTCAATATTTCCTCGACAATGCGCTCACTATACTGGGTAATGCAGGGGCCAGCCTTGAACAGATCTGACGAATATCCCTCAATGCATTGAAGAGATGAGTGCGTATTGTGATTCAAGTTGACCATTGTGAATGGCTCATCGTCGTCCACTTTGTTATTGCTGGGCAGTTCGATTTGATCCCTAATGCTGCAAGCCTCCTTCAAGTCGCATCCACTTGAAGTGTTGTGCTCGTTCATGGTCGGAGAATTAAGTACACAAATACGATTGAAACTAGTTGAAATATTCGAATTAGGTATATTTAGAGAATGATTTCGATTTGGAATCTCTAAAAAAAAAAATGTACAAAAATCGAAACTCGATTTGAAGTGAGAAACTAGGCAGACGAGCACTAGATGGACCTTTTTGTGAGTGAATTCTTAAACCTTTTTGGTGCTCTCAATGGCAGACACAATATTTTCGACAGCATCGCAGACCAGCGTGTAGGTTTGTATGAAGAGCGAGTCCTTGAAGAACTTGCTGTGCAGAACCTTTCGGGAGATTAGCCACTCCACGTACTCCGAATCGGCCGGCATCTCTTCGCCCTTCTGGGTCAAATCGTTGATGTAGACCTGCAGCTCGGACTTGAAGAACTGCTGGCCCAGCCCCTCGCTCTGTATCTCCCAGTTCTCGATTGTGCTGCTGATGATGCCGCGCACATAGAGATAGCACGAGCGCTCCTGCTGCTGGCTGAGATGCAGGTCCTCGTAGATTTCGCCAGAGTTGCAGCGCATGGGAGCCAGCACCTCGACGAGTATGTTCTGCAGAGACTCACGCTGCTGCACCTCGTGCTGGTAGATGCACTGCCTCAACGTCTCCAGGCGATAGTCCCAGGGCGGCTGGCGTGGCTTCTTCACCAGCATGTAGAGCTCCTTGAGTGTCTCCAGATCCGCATAGCGCTCGACTTTGAAGCCAGGATTTTGGGCAGTAAACAGTTCGCGTTCGTCCAGCTGACGCTCATAGGGGCACTTTAGATTGCAATTCTCCACAATGGGCGCCAGCTCCGCATGTATGCCGGCCAGGCGCTCAGTGAACTGGGTCTGCTGCTTGTCTATGATCAGCTGCTGGTCCCGCTCGAGTCGCTCGCGATAGGCCACGGGCGTTGTGCAAACGCCATGAAAGCGCACATAGAGACGCCGCATGCCACAGATGGCCGAGCGCGTCAGATTCAGGCACCAGCGCTGCTTCTTAATGCCCACCCACATGGGCTGGAACATGACGTCGATGCGACGCTGTGTTCCAGGCAGCAGCACAAAGGGCTGGGTGTCGAACAGGAACTCGTTGTTCAGGACCAGGTGCTGCTGCAGCTCCTTCTTGTAGATGGCGCACGACTGCCAGCGCACTTGGATCAAACAGTTGCCGATGTTCTCCAGAAGGACGATGGTCTTGCGCATGCGCTGGAGCGGATCGCATTGGAAGAATATCTGCATGTCATCGCTGAGGATGCCATGATCGACGCCAAACCCAAAGACACGCCCATTTATCTTAACCGCATTGAGAGCAGGCACTGCGGTTGCCTTGACCTCGGCCACCGGAGGGCGCGGAGTTTTGGTCTTGATTATGGATTTCGATGGCGCTATCGATTGCGAGGGCGATTGCCGTGGCGTTTGCTGTGCCTCGTCGATTGTTTCGGTGGACACCTTGTAAATAACATCTTCGCCAACTGTTTGGCTCTGCAGCACATTTTGCTTGCAGCGCTTGGACGCCGATGCGACCTGCAGTTGATTGAAGTCTGGACAATATTGAAGAACACGCATAATGTTTTCCTCCTGCTGCTCGAGCCGCTTGCCCAGCGCCTCGGAGCGCTGCCATTTGCTCTCGGCCGGGTGCAGTGTGTCGGCCAGCTCGATTTGTGCCACCTCCGAGAAGCCCACGAACTCAAACTCCGGCAGCCGAGGCTCGGCCACGGGCAATTCGGCCAGCTGGCGGCAATGCGCCGGATCCTGGCGCATCTTTAGTACCGGCTTTTTCTGCGTCGGCGGTGCTCCCTCGCTGCGCTCGGCCGTATCAATTAGACGGATGAGCATCCGTTTCGTCTGCGCATCGATGGTCGCATGGCGATTGAAGAGGACATCCTCCGCACGCTTGCCCGTCTGTCGCTCGATGCGCTTTTGCAGCAATTTACGCTCATGGAGCATTTTCTTCCAACACTTGAGACGCGGATCCATATCGTCGTCATCGTCGTCGTAGTCATCGTCAATGCATTCGTTCAGCTTTCTACGAATTTTGGGAAGCACCTGACAGTCGCTGCTGCTCACGTTAACGCCAAAGGTTTCGGCCTTCTTGATCACATCGCAGACTTCGTTCACCAAGTCGTGTGCCACACAGTCCGGCACCGGCTTTCGGGTGGCGCACACATTCCCTGCTGATAGGAAGTTTATTTTGGTCACAAGCGATTTATCTGTTGTTTCGGTTAACAGGTTCTCCATGGACTCCATGTTGAGTCCATGCACATCTTTGTTATTATTCTCTGCAATTGCCTCCATATAGCTGCAGATATCTGATTACCCTCTATGCGAGCTGAGTATGTATTGTATCCAAACAAAATTATATATATGTATATTTATAATACTGACTGACGAGCTCAGCATTCGATGTGACTTTTAGCATTCTTCGATCAACTCACTTGGGAAACTAAACTGAGAGGAAAAGTAAGACCGTGCTAAAGAAAGGTTAAGGTGGTAGTTTCATATGTATGGGGTATAAATAAACAAGCTTATAAATATATTGGTCAATCGAAGATATAGCTGAAGTAAAATTAATAAATTCTCATTCTCATAAAATTTTGAGCAATTGCATTTATATATCAAAGATAGGAATTTGCCATTTGCCATGACTTCCGTGAGCACATCCAAGTCTCTTTTACTTTGATATGCTCTCCGCAAGACGGCAAAGATCCAAAACCAATATACTCCCTTTACACTGTGCGCAAGTATAGTTAGTTATAGAGTGATATATATTTGGTTATAGAAATAAATATTATTTCACTAGGCGCTGCCTATGGCTATAAGTTTTCGACCTCTGCCATATATTTAGCAGTTGCTTGAGTAGTTAACAATAACTGTCAAAGTTGTTGGTTATATGAATGGGTTTACGTGCTAGCCGATGCTATATTACACCGAGAACTTGACACAGTTGCAATTTGTGCAGCCCGAACTATGTTTTGGGAGAATTGTGCTAATTTGCTAACAATCCACAGAAAGCAAATGAAATTCACATAGCTCGTGTGACAAGTCATCGTAATTTGTTGAGCAACATCAGCGAGGGCAAAGCGAACACACACACACACAGACACATACCAAAGTCCTACCGCTCAACGACATTGACGTGCCGCCTTCACACAATTCAAAATTGTTATAGTTTTATTGTGGTTGCTGCTGCTGCTGTTGTTGTACTTGTTGTTGTTGTTGTTGTTGTGTCTGGCAGCCAAGTGAAAGGAGTTGTCGTGGTGGCAAACAAATGAAACTTACCTGAAATGAAAGAAGGGCACAAATAAGACTTGATTTATAGACAATGCATGAATGTTTTATATACATATATATCGTTATATATTACAGAGATATTTATGATATTGGCAGAGCTCATTTATATATATAGTTTTAAGGACTTTGAGCCGAGTGTTGCCATAAAAAAAAAAAACTAAACTTTAAGCTTTCTGGCTTTGCCATTGTGTGGCTGCAACAATAGAAACTGCAGTTGACAGAAACAAAGCCATATCAATTACCCGGGGCCGGCCGACTGGCAATCGGAGTTAAAGGCACAAATAAAGTAATTTAGTCCTGGGCAAAGCCAACTAACCGCAAGCAGAGGAAGCATGCAACGCTGCCGCATTTCCGGCCGTTGGCTGGCTTTTGTTGCCAATTTCAATATGCTCATTATTATGAGCTTGGGGATCTGTGGCTCTGTGTGCCCGTGTGCCTGGAGCATGTGGCTCATGTACGTGCCCCAGGCAAATGCAATCAACATATTGTAATTCTGAAATGCATATTGAGAACGTGCAACAGATACTTTCCACAGCAGCAGCAGCAACATTCGCACAATGCGCATGCAATGCGAAACTTTGGGCTGCACTTAACGGGCCGTCAGACAAAAACAAAAAGCTGTGAGCGAGTAAACAGAGTGGGAGAAGGAGAGGATGAGAGCAGGGGCACTGCCTCATCTACATTCGACATCTGCGCTGTTGCACTTGATGCCACAGCAGCAGCAGCAGAAGCAGCAGCAGCAGGAGAAAAAAATCTGGCAGTGTTTGCATTTTGATTTCCATTTCGCATGCACTCAAGTAATGCATTTATTATTTACCAGTCCATGCAAGAGGCTGGGCGGCGGAGCAGGCGCAGGGGGGGACAGCGTTGCCAACGTTAAGGCAACTCAATTCAATTCCGCAAACTCATGTTGCAGTTGTCAACGGCGCAGACGAAGACACTTGTGGACGAGCTGTTAAACCGAATCCCCTCGGTGCCCCCTCTCTCACTCTCTCTCTCTCTCTCTCTCTCTGTGTCTATCTGAGCAAATCTATAGCTGGATGCTGCACATGTTGCATACCACTTGGTGTCTGTTGACAGGCAGCAGCCAGCAGCAGCAGCAGCAGCAGCAGCAGCAGCAGCAGCAGTTGGCAGCAATACTCAGACGGCAACTGTTGGCGCTTCTTGAGTGAAGACAGACGGCCGAGACGGACACTCAGACAAATATGCTTATTTGCCACTACTTGGGGCATATGCACTTTACAATTGCGTTTGCCGCTCTTTGAAGGAGAGCAAACAAAAACTTTTGCCAGCTGTCATAAAGTTTTGATTTACTTTAGGCAGTGCTGCAAAAGGCAGCCGGAGTATCAAGCAAATAGTGTTGCAAGCTGTCAGAGAGACTTCACTTATTTAGACAGTGTTGTAAGACTAGTTAGCTGTAAGCAATTGTAAGCAACTTTTGCCTCTTTATACTGCTTCCTATTGTCTTAGGTTTATACTGTCTTATATCTGTATATACCCTAACCTACTACTCTCTCCTTTCTCTTCTTTTTAATACTGTATGCTCTTCCTCTCTCCTTCTCTCTCTCTCTCTACTTCAAGCCACTCTCTCTCTGGCAATTGACCTTTCCATACGAAAAACTTAATCAATCAGAGCATTTCACGCTGCGACTTGGATCGTAACAAGTATCTTTGCATCTTGTTATTCCATAACAAATGGCGATTTATACACATGTACACATAGTATTTTATTTGCATCCCGCTGCATATTTGCTGATTTTTATTTTGCATGCATTAGATGACGCTCATAATAATCAAATTTTTATTGAATGAATTGCGAGCTGTAAAGCTGTGGCATTTATGTTTGAGTCTTTCTGCTGCCTCGAGGCCATATCCATTGAGCAGGCAATTGCTGTGACCAGTTGCCAATTGCATTTTGTGGCCATAAAAGTGCGTTACAAATAACTGCACTTTCATTGAGCGGCACCGTTAGAGCGATAGCCGCCCATTGGCCGACGATCAGGGCGATCGGGTTTGAAATCGAGTTCGTATTTGGATTCGACGCGAGTTGATTTCGATTTAATTGCTGTGCAATTTGTGCAGCCAAGAGTGGAATGTGCTGTCAAATTGTGGCACTTAATTAAAACATATTGAGTGTGCAGTTAAATTAACATTTCACCGGCAGGCTGATCGACCAGCAGATGCCCTGTTATATGATCTATGTTAGCCATAGATATTGAATGTTGAGTGACCATTAGATGCAATGTGTTATAGCTCTCTTTTTCTCTCTCTCTCTCTCTCTCTCTCTCTCTCTCTCTCTCTCTTTCTCCCTACCTTCCCCCCTCTCTCTCTCTCTCTCTCTGCAGTAGCAATTTCAAGTAAGCCAAATATCTCTATCACAAGCGAACTTTCAGCTTATCAAATCTGTGCAAATGCAATTCCAGCTTTATTATATACATACATACGTATGTATGCATGTGAAGACGAATGACTAGCCAACACTCACATATGCCAGAGCTAAGCTCGATTTGCTGTTGTGTGCACTTTGGTCACATAACATGCGGCAAGCGCCATGTCCAGGCCATTTAAAGCGAGGCGAAGCCAATCGAATCTGACGACAATCCAAATGGAAGATGGGACCTGAGTGCTTAGCTGTGCCCGCTGCTGATGTAATCGCGTCCATAAACCGAGGAGCCACCAATAACAAACAATTACACCGGCCGCATCAGCAGACGGCATCAAAGCTGCCAAGTTGCACGGCTGCACCCAAGTCGCCGTCGCCGTCGCCGTCGGCGTCGCAGTCGACGCTTGCGTCTGCGTCGTCGCATCTCTGCGAGGCGATGCTGCAAAATTATGATTTGTATGGCAGTGTGTTTGTTTGTTGTTAGATTTGAAAGTCGGCAACTGTGCAATTTATGCAAGTAGGAAGCGTTGCACAGTCGCCGCCAACTGCAGCAGCAGAAGCAGCAACAGCAACAGCAACAACAAAAACTGTGGCATCAAGAGGTCGCATTTTGGCTGTTAATGAAGCTGCCACAGCACTGACTGCTGTCTGATGACTGCTGGCTGCCACTGCTGAGGGCCCAATTGTTGCATCGTCTGCTGCGGTTTGCCTGTCAACCAATTATTTGCGAAAATATATATGAAGTTGGAGGATGTTCCAGCTGGCCAGCTTCCGCTCATCAGCTCTTTAAAGACCATGTTTATAATAACCACCTAGTTAACTGGACTGAGTGTGGCATTAGCATTGCCCTCGCACCGCCGTCATTTCCTGCTTTTAGCACACCACACATATCGATAGACAATCGGCCATGAAACCTTTCTCTGCGCTTCTCATAATGGAAATCTCACTGCTAAGGAGAACTCTATTGTTTATGCCAGTCAGCTATGCATATTCCTCCCTAAAGCTCCATTAACGTGTCCCATTATCAGATACCTTACAAGATAATTATAACTATACAAACCCTATGCTGTTTGGAGCTGGTAAGACAAAGAGTCTTCCCCTTTTTTCTTCTCTCTCATTCGAAATTCGTGTGTACAGCAAGTAGAGCCCGCAGCCATGTAGACAAGACTCCACTTAAAATGTAAATGTACTTTCCAATCATGTGATATAAGTGTTCCTCGCTATCAAAATAACATTTAAGCTACCATCTAAATTGCCCGGTTTCAACAGGCCACAGCTCGGGCCGAGTGAAACGGGTTTCAGCCGCGCAACTAACCCATTATCTTTTCCGAACCCAACTAATTTGCAGCTAATTGAATTACTTAGTTAACAAAGTGTTCGACATTTAGTGAAACTAACTACTTGAAATGAGCGTCCATTTGCAGAGCTTCGCTTTCGCAGTATTTTCATGTGCTTCACTTGGCGAATTTCGTAGTTCGCAATTATTTTAATTTAGATTGCTGACGGACGAGCAATGCATAACAACAATTTGTTAACTATTTATTAGAGTTGCCTGGCGGGCAACCGAACAAATGGACAAATCGACAAATGGACAAATGGGCAAATGGGTAGACGCCTCCGGACCCAATCTGTGTATCTCGTTTGACCTTGCGCTGCCCAAGGGCCCGCTCCAGATGCTCCGTACTATTCAAATGCATGCCCATCAGCATAATAGGGAACTCACCTTCGGATCGTATCGAATCGAATCGAATGCAGGTCGATTGTTGTCGCTCTACAATAAAAACTTATTTTTCTTTCCTCTTATTTATTATGTTATTTATATTATTTATTTGTATACCCCACTCCGGTGGGGTATATGCGCTGTGACATTGCAAGGGCGTGGTTGGTGCCAGAAAATATATACATATATATGAGCTGACTCAATCTAACCCGGTTCGACTGTGCCGTCGTCCATTGGACTATATAAGTCTGATACAAATAGAGATTAGGCTTACTATGATTTGAAGGTAGAAAACTCTTATCTATAGCTATTACAGTGAGTAAACATTAAAAGTATATAAACTGGCAAAAAAAAGTTGAAAGAAACGAATATTTATGTTACTCACTGTATGTGCCCTTAAGGATAGGGTAACTACTAGTCGCCATTGGCGATCGTCGAGTTCCCTTTGGCTGCTGACTAGCGTTTTAAGCTGCATGGACAAAGCCCACGTTAACCTTCTGCAAATGGGCGAGTAAGCTGCATTATCATTGCCGATTATTATGACATTTCGTATTATTACAAGGGAGCGACGACGACGACGACGACGACGAGCGCATCTCCGGCCAAGTGGTAAAAGCACAATAAATAATCGTGGTAATCATAATAATGATAAAAGTGACGCCTCGCTTCATCTGACCGACTGACTGATATCGCTGTGGGCCATGTGGGGTTTACTCGATGGCTATGTGGCAACAGGGTAGCCCACTTGCTAGCTGGCCAACATCTCAATTGCTGTTTATTTGCCTATCGGGGCGATCAGGGCAAACGCAAACTGAAACTAAAAAGCTCGAAAATAGTGAACAAATATATATATGTATATATAAGTGAAATAAAAATAAGCAGATACAACACCAAAATTCGGACAATGCAACCGATTGGCGATTGTTGATTGCGACGGGGCGCGTGATATTCGTATCTCTTTTTTTTTTAATTTTTTTGAGTTTTTCTCTTTCGTTTTACTCTTTTAAAATATTTTATTGCTATTATCGTTATCGCGTCGAGCTCTGTTGTTGCTCCTCTTTTGCCCCTTTGTTGTTTTTGTTGTTGTTTATGCTGCTGCTGATGTTGTTTTGGTCAAATTGGATTACAAAACTGACAAAAACAGTTGAATGTTTGCATTTAGCCGCCTTTGTTATGCCATTTCTTTTTTCACACACAAACCCGAGCCACCGGACCCAAATCCAAATGCAAATCTCGAATATCCCAAGCCCCAGCCACAGTCCAGCTCCAGATATCTTAATGCGCCAATTAAATTGCCACTTACTTGTGGAGCAGCCGAGCGAAGATCGCGGCTCGGATGTGCACGGCGCTGCCGCCGCAATTGTCTTTATGCAAATGACATTTCGATCGGCGCTTTTTTTTTTCATTTTATTTTATTTGTGGGGGGCTTTGTGACGAATTCCATCGCGCTGGGCTGCCTTTGTGCCAGGCATAGAGATCGTAATGGCCAAAAATAATAAGCGTCAAATGTATTCATATAAAATGAAAGGTATCCCAGATCGAGCATCGAGCATCGAGCATCGGGCATCAAGCGTTGCGCCACGTTTGTTTTTTATGACTTTGAACTTGAACTGGGCGAACAAATGTTTATCTTTCTAAAAAAGAAATTTCGTAAAATGAAAGGCAGGGAAATAATGGACAAGGTCACTCGGGCAATTCTAGTTATGGTTATTCGAATGATAGGAGATGTTTAGCAATGGCTCTTACAATGGACGCCCGAATGCATAATTACATTTTATTATATTCAAATTCTATGTTATCTGTGGAGTGAATTGGGAAATTATTTCAGTTAATAAATGGGGCAATTACTTAGTCTTATTTATGCCAATATTTAATTTGTTAAAAATAATAGCAGTCAATATTTTTTACGTGGCTTTAGCTGCGAATTCCAAAGTGTAATAATCTTTGCTGAGCTGATCTCTGTGGAGCGAAGCACTTTATCTATAACTTATATCTAATTGGTACATTTTTCTGGCAAATTCTTTCTACATTCCTTAACTCATTGCTCTTGCCATAGTCTAATATAGAGTGTTGGATCTCCTATAAAGCTTTGATGCTTGCTTCTGCATGGCGTATACGTAACTCTTTGTGATATTATTTTTAGTTATTTCTAATTATTTATTATTATTAGTAATTTTTTTATTTATTTGTTTTTTTTATGTATTTCATTTTTATTTTATTTATTTTAATTTTTTGCCAATTAAAATATATAAGGAAAAATAATATATATATATAGAGAGAAAAAATATATATATAAAATATATAATACAAAATATTATTTTTAAAATAAGTATCTACTTTTATATAGTTACATCTATCATATTTTATGAAAGTTAATTTAATTTAAATTAATATATAGTTTAAACTTTTACGCTAGTAAATTTAGATTATTATCAAGAAAAGCTTTAACTGTCTATTGCTATACATATATATAGGATATATAAAATCTGAAAAACAATTTATAGACCAAATTGAACACACAATAATCTAGAAAATATTCACTCCATTTCATATTTCTCGTCTCATCGATCAAAGACTATGTGTTCGTTCATTAACTTTACGCTGGTTGCATTGGCCGCCTTTGCTGCCATTAAGTTGAAGAAGTGGTATTTATATATGGCAGTATATATATCTTTGCAAATCATAGATATCAGTTGGCCGTTTTGTGGCTAAAAGAACTTGGCAAAAAACGAAAAAGAGAAAAAAACAGTGTAACGTAAAGCAAATATGTTAACATTGAAACGAATCTGAAAATTTGTGTATTATTGCATTTGCTTATTGTTGCAGCAGCAACCTACACCTTCATACACACACACATACACATACACACACACACACACACACATACACGTGCGGTGTCATTGCTAGTGAACTCGTAAGCTGCTCGTTCCGCACGTTCCCGCTGGCTGACTGACTGGCCAAGTGACTTGGACTTGCTGCAACGAAGACGCTGCTACTGCTGCTGCGACTGCTGCTGCTGCTGCTGCGGCGGCTGCTGCCGCTGCTGTGGCTGGGCATAAAAACCAAGCGCTTCGCCAGCGCCAGCCACAGTTAGTCGCGCGAGTTTTGAACGCCGCAACCAAAGTCGAGCGCTGGCACCCAACGATCAAGTTTCCCACAATTTTCCAGCACCTGGTTGCCTTTATATTTTTTTTCAGTTTTCTTGAAGAGTGTGATCTCGGTTTTTCTTCTTTTTTTTCTGTTTTGCTCGCACTTAGCCAGTGTAACTGTGCGCAAAAAGTAATTAAAACGAGAAACTAGTGAAGCAAATACCATCCATAAGAAACGAACTGATACACAGATACAGATAGAGATACAGATACAGATACACCTATACATCGGCAGCCACATCAACATTGGCATCAGCATCTGCTCGTGCCTAAAGTGTTTTGTGTGAAAAATTAATATTTAAATGTGCATTGTCTGAAGTCGAATACGAGCAAAACATCTTTGGAAACAATGAGATTAGCATTGATATTGGTACGTATTATACGAACAGGAAACACCAGCCCATCCACACTTACATAATGCGGAAGCATCAGAGCCCAGCCTAGGCCGGGCCACACCAGACCTGCCCATTGGCAAACCCTTACTAATTGGCGAGCAACCAAACTCAATATTTGGCTATGAAGCGTCAACAATTGTTGTTTGTTATTTGTTCAGTTTTCCTTAGAAGCGTGTGTGTGTGTGTGTGTGTGCGAAATTGCCGTTGTAGGCGTGTCTGACGCCCACCCGCAACACTTCCTGCCATTCCGGTGCTGTCATCCCGTTGGCTGCTCAATTCATTTGCATGCCAGCCACTGAGCCACTGAGCCGGCTTGGCCAGCTGCAAGATATATTTCACCGTTGTCTAACGAGGGGCGCTGCACATGCGGGGCAATGCCACGTAATGACTGCCATAGAAAGTGCTCACAGTGGGAGTTTACAGCTGAGTGTGTGTGTGTGTGGCCAGTTCATGGCACTCACATAGCTTAGCCGGTCTGTGGTGCCAGTTCACTGATCCTGGCACAGTCGCTACCCCACCCCAACAACAATTTGGCTGCTCAGGTTGTTTATGTTGCAAAAATACATGATTTGGCTCTTTCAGATAATCAAAGAGATTAGCAAAAGTTATAGCTAGTCGAACATACATATATATATATGTATCTATATTCAAATTACAATCAAGCAATATCGTATATGTGTGTCACTTATTTGCATTTTGTAATATAAAAATTAAAAATAATTAATTAAAATCAATTAAATTTTTTGTAACGCCGAAAACTCGGACAGCAAACATTTGCCACCATATTACATCATTTTCAAATTATTTTTCTATGACAGCTAGTCAGTTGATAAACAAAATAAATAATAATAATATATCATAGAGCTGCCAAAAAAGAAATATAAATATAAATTAATCTGCTGCATAGCTATATATGTCGACTTAGCTCTATTAATTTGATATGCCTCTACGCCTTAAGATGTCTCCACGCAGCATCATTTCCGCTGCAATAATACAACAACAGTAGATGATACAACAACAACAATTTACATTTACAACTCGTCAAATCAGCCAAATACAATCTCAATGCTTGGCTGACCTTTTAACCTCTTGAGCTGTGCACGCTGTCCGCCCTTGCCCTTGTCTTTAAAGCGTCAATATTTTGTTTCTCGAGTTCGGCTAAAACGCCTGCGGTTCTGGCCTCGCCAACAGCAACAACAACAGCAACAGCTTAGCCACATCTGCCACACGCCGTCACGCTCGAGCCATCAGCTAGTTCCAGCTGCAGTGCTCATATCTATGCGCTAATTGGCCCAAGTCGTTGGCTATCAACGTTTATTAGGCAGATCTGCCAACTGGACTGGATTGGATTGCCAAACTAACTTGGCCGCAAACTGTATTTACGCAAATGCGACAGCATTTTTTAAGTTTATCAGTATGTATGTGTGTCTGTGTGTGTGTGTGTGTGTGTGTGTGTGGCAGACAGAACTCGTTTTGTTGTTGCGATTACATAAAGTACTCTCATAGCTGGGGAAGAGGCTCGAGCTCAGGCTCAGGACTTGGCGTTGATGTTTGCTCTGGCAGCTGCCTGGCAATTTGCTTTATTGTTGTTTAATTTACATTTTATAGTTATGCTTTTGCTCATTTTCCTCTTTTTTTGTGTGTGTGTTTTATGCCTTTTGTTGCATCACTGAGCAGCAGCGGCTAACGGTTGAGGCAGCAACAAAACTGAGCTCAGCTAAAGCTAATTTGCACGCGTTGCGTAGCGCCAGCAGCAATAATTTCTTTTCGCTAGAGATGGACGTGTAACACTCACGACTCACGCCCGTTGCATGCCAAGAGGCATTTGAGTATGTGTGGCATTCCACACATACATATGTAGCCTGATGGAATTTCCCGTGCTACACAATGTTCTGCCTGAGCTGTTTGACACAAGCTCGTTGTCACATTCTGCAAAGTGAAAGGCAGCAACAACAACAACAACAACGGCAATAGCCGCATTAATTTAATTAAATTATTGCACAAACATTTGTGTTTTATTTATTTATTTTTTTTGTTGTAATTTTCTTGCCACCAAAAATAAATCAATGCTGGCCAGGCTGACTTGTGGCAAAGGGGGTAGGTGGAGCGGGCCAGCTGCGAGGGGTGTGGGGGGCAGTGTGTGGCTGCTGCTGGACGCATTATATAAAAGCGGGTAACAAACATAACAACAAAGATCACATAAATTCGCATGTTAGCGAAACTCGTCGACTTCCTCACCAGCGACCGCCCGCCTCCTCTAGCCATAAACGTGCCCCAGCCACAATGCCTAGCATTTGACAGAAATTATTTCTGCTATTTTTTTTTGTCTTCTTTTATTTTTTGTTGTTTTTCTTTTTTTTCGAGTATTTTTGTTGTGTAGCTGTTGTTGTTGTTGAGTCGCAGGTGCGCCCGTGCAGCAGGTGAACGAAAGTCAGCTAAACAGTCTTCCTGCTTAAATGCTTAAAGCAGCACCAACAACAACAACAACAACACTTGCACACACACACACACACACACGCAAACAATTACAAAATGAGCTAGAGTAAAATGTCGGCAAGGCACTGAGCGCTATTAAATTGTATATCTTGAGTCCGGGCGGCTTTCCGTTGGCACACTGTCCCAGTTTCGAATTTATCGTTGCTGTAATTGAGTGACAAAATGCAATTAAAAACTGTGAGTATTATGGCGCACGGCCAGTCAGGGGCCTAAGCACATGCAAAGTGTTGAAATGCTGCAACGAAATAGTTATTAAAGTTGCCGAGAATAAACAAAGCAGAGTTAAAGAGTCACGACACAGCCATGAAAACCGCTGGAAAAAGTTTGGCCAATAAACGAGTCAAGTCTGATGAATGTAAAGGTTAAGTTAAAGAAACGCATAGATAAATGCATATACATATGTATGTAGCGCACAAGCTTCTAGAAATTATCTATTACAAATTTCAATTTACATATAATACATAAATCTTATGATAAGAAGATATATATATATATATAGTTAATTCCCTTTCAATACATGTCAACTCACAAAAAGTTATTTATGATGTAAGCCAAAGAGCTTATATAATGCTGCATAACAAAAGACTAAGGACACGAACTTGACAAAAAAAAAATGCAGCAAGGCCTGAGGCAAAGCTTTTACAGCTGCCAATCGTTGAGCTCAACAACATTATATATTGCATACATATGCACACATACATACACAAACACACACACACATATACATATACAGCCAATGCTTGCAGCTTGTTTGCACATTCAAAACAAAAGACTTAGGACACGAACTTGGCAAAATGTTTTTCCTGCTGGCACTCTGGTTGCAGCCGGACTTCTTCATCGGGCACATTCACTTTATTGAATCGACAGCGACGAAATGTCAAATGTGAAATACGTGCGTCTGTGTATGTGTGTGTGTGAGCTGTAAAAGTGTTTTGTTGATTTTTATTACTGGTGCTCAAAGAGTCGCTTTGATTTTTTAATGATTTTAGCTGGTTGGGTTTTTGTATCGAGACCATTCGATAGCCGAGAGCACAAAAACAAAAGAGCTTTTGGCGCAATCGCAGCCACAACATTCGATTGTCTAGCTGGCGCCTCACCTTGAGCCCAAAGCGGAGACAAAGGTGGCGGCAAACAAAGGCAACAGCATCGCCGAGTCTCGGCACACTCTCCGGTTGTGGGGCTCACACAGCTCTTACAGCTCACACACTAGCCCCGAGGAAATGCATTGAATCTTTTAACAGTTTCGCATCCTTCCATGTGCCATTGCAGTGTACGCTATGCGCTGGCCTGTGCTTGGCCAGCGCCCTGGGCCAGCCAGAGACGCCGACGAAATCTTCAGCCAGCGGCTATCCGAAGAAGGTGACGACCCTGAAGAAGCGACCAACCAAGACGCCCGCCACCACCACGCTGACCTCCTCAGCCGCCCAGACGGGCAGCAGCGCAGCCACAACGAAGCCGAGCAAGCCACGCGTCAAGATCGCCAGCAAGACGACGGCCGCGACGAAGCCACCTTCGCTGACAGCCCGCTTTGGCAATTTGCCCGCTGACGATCTGGAGTTCATCAAGGAGCTGGACAAACAGTTCAAGCTGCACGGCAACAAGATCAAGATCAAAGTGGAGCGTGAGAATACGACCCGCAGCAGCAGCAGCAGCAGCAGCGGCGGCGGCAAGAACAGCAAGCGCACCATCGACGGCGAACTGGGGTCAGTGACTGCTCGAATCTAGCCACAGTTTTAGCTGGGGCTGTATGGAACCAGTTTGCCAGACTCTTATGTGCCACTGCTCCTTAAGTGCTGCATAGATGTAGTAAGACTAGGAAGAAATGTAGAGGCAGTTGAGCTAGGCTTGTAGAGCGAGGACTGAGTCTGAAACTCGACGGAAGACTTCATATTACAATCTCTCTTCAAGGTTTTCTTATATACTAAAATCATTTTGCACTCAGAGAGTGCGAGATATAAGGCAGAAAGTTATTAACTGGACTTTTGATATATTTTCATTGAAATTGAATTCATTGCAAAGTATTTAACTACATACATCATATTTTATAATCCAAAATGCATTCCAATTCCAACAATAACTCAATCATAGTCTAGGCTATTAATGATGGCCTTGTGGCGCTCATAACAATCTTCTATAAATAGCAAAGAATGGAATGCAAGTTGCAATTATTTGCAATTAAAGCCGCATTCCCACTTCCGCAATTGGCGCTTGCAGGTTCAGTGGCTAAAAGAGAACGTAAACGGGTATTCAAATCAGCTGCCAAGAACTTAAGTGGAACAGATCTGAATTGTTGTCTGATATACTAAAACTCTGTCAACTCTGTCTCTCCACAGCTATGGCTATGCGCATCAGGGATACGACTATACGCCGCCCAAGTTCATGTTTTATCCGTACTCGCAGCATGATATACCCGCAACGGAGTCGCCGGATATATACACGGGCTACTCGTCCGCGGAATACGAGCAGCCGGGCACGATTAAGGCCCAGCAGCAGCCCATCCAGCATCAGCAGGTGACCAGCGTGACCATTGAGCCCTCCTATTCCTACGAGCTGAAGCCGCAGACCAGCTACGAAACACGCCAGCCGAGCGCTGAGCAGCACGCGCATGCGGAGCAGCCGCAGATCGACTTGCCACAGCCGCACCAGGAGACCAGTGGGGCGGCCGGAGACTACCAGGAGCCCGTAATTGTGCTGCGCATACCCGGCCCGGCCAAATACGCGGCACATCTGCAGGCACTGCTGCAGCAATACCTGGAGATACGCGCTGCCCAGTATCTGCAGCTGCTGCAGGAGGCGGAGCAGCGCAAGCAGCATCAGGCCGAGGAGTTGGCGCCGCAGGCCTACGCCACGCCCGAGCAGCACGACCCGGCCCACTATCATCCGGACGTCAGCTACGCGCATCAGGTAGCCGCCACGCCCCCGCCCATACAGTACGCGCCCATTGACGATGTCTACCAGAGCTACAAGGGCCGCCACCAGCAGATGGCCCAGGCACCGCAGTACGAGCCGCCCGCCCCTGAGAGCTACTATGCGCCCAGCGCCTACCAGCAGCAGCAGCCGCAGTACTACTACGCCCAGCCGCAGCAGCAGACGCAGTACGAGAGCAGCTATCAGCCACAGCTCTATCTGATTGCCATGGCACCGCAGACGCAATACGCTGAGCCCTCGGAGCCAGCGCATCATCAGCAGCAGCAGCAGCAGCAACAACACCAGCAGCAGCAGCAGCAGCAGCAGCCCATATATGTGCCCGAGCAGGATCCACCAACGGCACCCGAAGCAGAGCCGACTGGCCACGATCACGAGCTGCCCATCACCGAGAACAACCCGCGCCCCACACACACCAAGGTCATCTTCAACTCGCAGGGCAGCGGAGCCGACTACTCCTCGAGCATGTATGCGCTGCCCTCCATTCGGCCATACCCAAAGGAGCAGCAGCAGCCGCAGCAGCAGGCGGAGAGTGGCCACACAGATGGGGCCACCACGGTCGCCGACTATCAGCCAGCCCATGAGGCCGGCGAGCCCGTGAGCATCACACAGCCTCCCTACAACTACCACGCTCACGGACTCAAGATGGCGCTCCAGCAGCGCCAGGGCAAGCGGGCAACCAAGCCGGAACACGCCCCCGACCGCCAGCTGCAGCAGATACGCGAGTATGTGCGCGAGAAGCTGGGCGCCGAGATGGGCTCAGCCGTGGAGTACAAGACGACGCAGCTGCTGGAGGGTTAACTCAGCTCAACTCGACTCGAGTCGACTCGGCTGCCGCTATTTGTTAATATTATTGTATAAAGAATTCATCGCTCTCGTATGTTTGTTGTTGTCGAAAGGAAACTATCATTAGTATTTATTTTACGTGCGTGGCCCCGGGCTGCCCAGCCAGCAAGCCCGCCGGGCAATCGGCTCAGCTCCAAAGGAGACGGCGAGTGGCAGCTCCTTGTCTGACCTTCATCGAATTCGAGTTCATCTTCTCTAACTGCACCTTCATGCTCATGCCACTTGTTTTATTATAGTAAACCCATTTCATTAATTGTTTTATTAGTATTGTTTTTTTTTTATTAAACTTTTTATTTAGTTTTCCCTTTGTGTATTGCTAACAACAACAAATCGTGTTAAATATGTGCAATAATTAGCTTGTAAAGATGAAATGTGCTTTTGAATTTATATATGTATATGTATTTGCACGAATAAAAATAATGTGAAACTAAGGAATGCGGATTTATTTTACTCTTTTTATTGTGAGTTGTAGAATACGCATAAGTGTTTATATTATATGTATATATGTGTGTGTATGGGTATATATGTATATGAATCACATATCCTGCTATCTTGCTATTTAATGCAATTTCATGCGTATACTTCTTCATATACCTTTATTAAGAGAGTAACAAAGATGCTTCCTATTAAATAAAATTTATAAAAAAAGGTATACCTTGAAGAAAGTTAAATTTAGATATACATATATGTATATAATTATATAAAAAATTTTAAATAAAAAATAAATAAAGAGTTTGGATCACGTCTCAAATTTACATAGATCAGTATAAGAGTAAAAAATGATCTAGTTTCGAAGATGAAAATTCAGGTTTTGTCTTCGGTTGGGCAAACAGAACCTTCAAGCATGGCTAAGGCAAGACTAACCCAATCTTCATCTCTTGCATAGGATTTATCGTATGAAATATGTTATAGACTGTGTCTATATGTATTGCATAGTTATTCTGATTCCAGGACCCAGGCAGGGCATTCGTCTCAGTGCAATATACCTCCGCATCTCAATACCAATGTAAGTGTCCAACTTGATGCATTGCATCTTGGTATACTACCATACATATATGAAGATCTCATAAATTTAATAGAGGATTCAACAGCGTAATCCCTAGTTCAGCGATTTCTACCTATATATTATAACAGGGGCGTGGCTAATGAAAACAAGATCTTCCTTAGTTCCGCACTCGCCTACCTTGCTCCACATCTACTTGCTCAACTAGATACTCATTCATACAGGGTATTCCGCAGTCTAGCTACACGCATGTTTTGCTTTGGCTTTTCGATATTACAGTGCCGCCTAAAAGCATGCCACACGATTGTCGATTGTCGCTCTGCATGTGGCAAGCTCGTGTGGCAAGTGCAACGCTGGCGCGTTTAGCACACATATTTAATGCGGAATATTCAGCGTTAAATTCAAGCGGATTATGCAATTTGCAACGAGCACCCGGAAGGCACGCATGAAACCAATAAAACTCAACACACAATAATATCAATTGAAAATTAATTCGGCATTCATTTTTTTTTTATCTGCATTTTACATAAATACAAATACGAAATACAAATTTCAGCAGCTTGCGGCCAGACACGCAAATCAGCTGCCGAAACCAACAGGAAATACAAAATACCAAAAAAAAAAAAACAAAAACAAAACCAAAAAAATGCAACGAAATTCAATTAGGCAAACGAATCAAAGTTTCGCATGCACTGCAAAAGGAGTTTTTTGAGTTTGCGCTTCGTTTCAAGTGTGACCGTTTGCTGAACTAAATTTTTAAGGTATGGAATGCTAGAAAAGCATTGATTGAATTCCTTTTGGCTTGATTGATATTGATGATGGTGATGATTATAATTGAATAATCATGACTGAGACTAAGTGAAGTGGGAGAGAATGAAAAATACTTGGTCCTCTTTCTATAGTATTCTACAGATATTGAGGATATAGACAATCCCTTCAGCCCTCTTCTTCTCTTATTGGTGGCAGCTATAGATGCAAGTTGTGTCGTCCATTGATGCCCACTCTCGTCATAGATGCCTACTCTCGATAGATGCCTACTCTTCAGAGTAAGATTGGCAAAATTATAGCCTAAAGATATTTTTTAATAAATTTCTATCATCCAGTACAGCCTTGTGCAACTTGGCTTTAGTCACTTGTCATCTAAGTCTACTTTCTTTCTTCTAATACTAATTTAGTTTAGCATTCGCTTGTTTTAAGTTTGATGACTATTATCATGTCTGTCTGTGCCAGTGTCGAAGTTTCTGCTACATAAGCGAAGTTTCTTTGCATTTGTTTCACTTTTTTCTGATTCTTTTGCACTATGATAGTTATATTATAGCTTTATTTTGTGAAGTTGGCACGAATTTGAGCATGTGTAAGTACATTTACAGCTTTGATTTGCTAAAAGTCTGCGCTAAAAGCAACAAAATTCGTCGGTGTTTTTTTTTCTATTTTTTGTATTTATTTTTTAATAAAAATACTTTATTAATGTTTCTACATTTTATATAAATATTTTCAAAGCTGACATAATTTTTTAAAAATATTTTTCTATACTTTTTAAAATATGCATTTTTAGTTTATTTAATTTTGTCTACATTACTCTAAACATATTTTCACAAATTTCTTAAATTTTTCAATATATTGTCAACATTTTTCCATGTTTTTAAAAATTAAGTTTATTTTTATATATCTGTGTAATTTTTGTTTAATGCTTTCTCATATATAAAATAAGCCAAACTAAAGTTGGTTTAAAAAAAAAACATGCTTCAGTCACACGAATATATATATAATATTCAAATATGTAGTATATATCAAAATGTACATATGTATATACAAAGCATATATCGACTTGTACCAATTTTTTGTTGTTTAAGCTGCCAAAATAGCATTTTAATCCGAAATGAATAATAATACAAATTCCACAACTAATCACAAATCTAAACTGAGACTTATTTTTCTTCACACATAATCCCTATCCATATTCCATGTAATTTTCAGCTTACTCCAAATATAGCCAAGTCTTGCTCTCATCTGGGTCCATTTTATAGAGCAATGGTATAACTATATTTAGTCTTCTTATAATTAGCTGAGCTCTGGTCAACTTTCACCCACTTCGATGGGTGGTTTCTGTGCATTGTTCAGCCTGTTGCCACATGGCTTAAATGAGTTTACGTAAAAGCCAAGTATGTAAGCAAACAATTAGCATAATCAGCTGCCGTAATGGACGGCAAATTGTACCAATTTTTTATAATTTTTGCTATGCAAATGCGGCAACGTCTGCGGCTGTAGCTGCGGCTGTGGCTGTGGCTGCATCCCGACTTTCCAGTCGACGAAACATTATTGAAGCAAAGCTACACACACTCGAAATGTGCAACATTTGCGGCAGGAGGCGACAGCAACTTCCGCGCACGCGAATTTCGTTGCACTTCCAGATGTCTATCGGGCAGATGCAACTGCAATTCCAATAGCCGTTCAATGCGTTGCAATGCAATGCAGACCAGCTGGCTGGCTGGCTGACTAGTCTCTTCGCATGCCAAGCACACGGTGCGACGGTGCGCCGGTGCGCCGGCTCGCTCATGAATGCAGTCGAAATTGAAAGTTTTGCTCCCCAAGTGGATCGATTGGTCATTGCCGTCACGTTGGCCTCGGGCAGATGGCCAAGATATTGCCCTGCCCAGCCCTGCCCAGCACTCTGGCAGACTGGCAGACTGGCAGACCAGCCAGGTGGGCGGGCGGTCAGGGCCTTGAAGTGAAATGCTGTCAATGCATCTCCCTTGACTTTGTATCATCATCATTAGCCTGAGCGATGAGCACTTCCTTCAGCTTGACGGCAGCACTACAGACCCCAAAAGAAATGTCGAATGCTGGAGACAATGATAGGCCTGCTAAAGCCCATAAACGGTATAATGATCTAAATGCTGCCATAACAATGGACCCATAAAACACTGCAACAACAACAACAAGAGCAGCAACAAGAGCAGCAGCAGCAGCAGCAACAATTCACTCACTCGCTCGTCAGCAGCAGCAGCAAATTAATAACCTAAGCGTCAGCCCGAAACACGTAACATTTTCCAACATTGTCCAAGCGTTGCAAGCGCCGCAGCTGCACAGTGGCACCAAAATGTGTAGCTGCTTGTCGAAATCTTGTTTGTATGGGCGGAAATTTAAAATAAATTTAAGTTCTCTTACCAACATTGAAAACTTGTTTGGATAGAAGAAATAATGCAAGTAAATTGATGTATTTGAATCAAAATATTAATTAACTGACTTAGAGTATTCGATATTAATCTTAATCTTACTCGTGTGTAAGACATATACAGTGCCTCACATTAATATTCGTTTTTTGTTTATAATAATTGTAGGCATAGATTCAAGGCATATATCAAAGTAATTCTACATAACTAACAAAAATTATATATACATATATCATTTGACTACCATTGAATAGATTAATGGCTATAACAATGGCCTTTCATTAAATATTTAACTTGGTATGATAATAAAAAATTTTATATATATTTATTAACATAGAAAAGCTTAAGCCAGCATGAACGCAAATTAGAAAGGCATTAAATTATAAATAAAATTAAGCAATGCGCTATCCTTAACTGTTTTACTTATAAGAGAATTTCTAAAAATTATAGTTAACGCTCCTCAATGTCTGTAAGTAAATGTCATACACTGAGAGCACTCAGAGAGCAATCAATTGTGTCCAATTGTCGAGTTTGATCGTGATTGCAGAAAACACTTCCATACTTTTTCGCTCTAAGGTTTCCCCGAAAAAGGCTTTACAAGTCTTTTGTGTGTACTGATACGATATGATATGAGAGGATTATGTTGCTCTTGTTATTTGAGTGAATCGATTGTGTGCAGGCATATGTTTGCATTGAGTTCATGGGCTACACATTTGCTTACCTTCTGTATGGGGACGACAATCGTGTCTCTCCGAACCGAGGCATCCAGCTCAGAGCGAAAACTGAACGAGAGCGAGAGCGAGTAAGAGTGAGAGCGAGTGGGTTTGATGCCTTGATC